GAGGCTGCGGTGGCCGGGAGCGGCCACTGCACTCCAGTCTGGGTGACAGAGTGAGACTCCAACTCAAAAAAAAAAAAATTAACAATACTCAAAATATTAACATCAGTCCCACAAAATTCTCTCTTTTTCTCATTTCTAGATTTCATCCAGAACTTTGTCCCCAACAAGGGCACAATGAAGGATGATGAAAAACACATTTGCACGAGAATGTCTTAAAGCAATAAAATACTTTCGTTAGTTAAAAATGCCCCGACTGCATAAGCACAAACTTGAAATACAGTTATTTTTTTAAATGGCCAATTTCAATATAAATAAAGGTTGTTTAACTCGGGGCATTTTTCCTCTAGCAACTCCCAATTCTAAATGGTATCAGCTAAAAATTGTAGATTATTTAGCTAAAAAAAAAAATGCATCACCACCCCACCCTAGAACTAGGTTCTGTGAAACAGAATATCATTCACACTTGGATTGTCTTTGAGGAAAAAGCAGGAGGACACAACAGAGACCAAACTTCTCTCAAGGAAGAATTCTGTCATTCATTCCCTAAAACTCAAAGGAAAAGAAAGTGAATTAGTGCAGCAGTAGTTATTTGTCTGGCTGGTTTTCCAACTAATAACTTGTTCCAAAAAGAATCTAAGGCTGCTTAGGTTAAGTTACATACAATAGAGCCAGATAGCACAAATTAAGAAGAAGAAAGGGAAACAAAAAAAGAGGAAGAAAATAGATGGAGAAGCAGGGCTATGGTACAAAATCACCAAGTCCAAGTCTCTGCTAAAGGTGCCCTACAAATCTGGTCCTAAGCTTTCTTCCAGCTCAAGCAAAGACGAAAAACAGCACCCACAGCAAAAGCTTTAATTTCTCAAGTGGATACATGTAACATGGAGGGGAATGGAAGGCGAGGGACATGGCTCTTAGGATAAGGCGGTCTCATAAGATTTTAGCACTCCTCCTCGGGAGTGGTCTCATGTAAGTCACACAACAAATCGGAGGGATTAGTGTTAACATCTTCATGGTAAAAGGAGAAAAGTAGAATGAGAGGGACTGAATGTGGCCTGCCATGGTCACCCCACTAGCAAGCTCCAGGACAGAGCCTGGAACTCGAATCTCATGACCCTGTCTCAGACACGGACAGGGAAACCCAAATTTCAGTATCAGTGAGCATGAACTAAAACACCGTGACTCCTCTGAGCCTAGGTTTCCTAACTGCAGCTCCTCTTTAGAGAACTACACTTCATCTTATTTCCAAAGACAATAACAAAAAGACTATTTTAATATATGGATCAGAAATGTTTACATATATTCAGAACTACAGTGTAGACTCACTCCATCTTCCTCTTCAGTAAACATCCATTTAGGGATTTAAGAATGTATGAAATGTTTTATTTCAGCCAGAGTGCCACAGTTCTGAATAACCTCATAACTCACTCCTTTTCCTTGGTTGTCCAAATTTGGTCTTAAGAAAAATCGGGAAGGAGACTGGGAGTCTACCCACTGTGTACCCCACCTCCCAAACCAAAAAGAAAAACTATTCTTCTAAGTCTCACACTGCACCCTAGCATGCATTATCAGAAGTGGAAAACACACCCCTCACCATGTGTAGCAACAACCTAACCTCAGGCCGCAGCAGGTGAGTTCTGTGACAGTCTATTTTTAAAACAAGACAATAAAATTGTCTTAGAGAAGGCTCAGTTCCACATGGCTAAGGAAAAAGAAAAGAAAGAGAATTGTGAAATGAATCACATGTGAAACGGAAAGAGGATTTTACAAATCTCTCCCCAAAACCCCTTCATCACATACACTAAAATACACACACACACACACACACACACACACACACACACACACACACCTACTAGTGCTACCTTATGGAAATGGAAATGGATGATACAGCTGGTCTTGACTGTGATTTCAGAAGGCCAAAAAGAAATCTATGATTCAGAAATCTATTCCCCATGTGACCAGTGCACAATATTTCTTTAACAGCAATGAAACCTTTCATTTAAAACTTGGAGATAGCACTAATACTTTTTAAAAACACCCTGGAAATTCAAACTGCACAGACCCATGTTTTGAGAAGTTCAAGGTTCGTCAGGAGTCCATTTACTCATCCTTTCAGCAGACATTTTTTGATCATCTACTACGTTGTACCAGACAATTTATTAAGTGCTGAAGGTACAATGGTTTTGACAAAACAAAGTCCTCTAGTATGGATTTTACATTCTATTAGGTTGAAATACATATTCATACATGATGAAGACCAAGTTTTTCTGAGTGATATTTGGTCACTACATGGCAGGCTCATTGGCTATGAGGTCATTAGGTTCAACAAAAGTACAATGAAACAATGACATTCTATGAGGTGGAAAGGAACACAGAGAAAGGAAACATTTTGACCAGGCCTGGTCCCCCAGGGAGTGGTGACAAAGAGGTGGCTTTCAGCCAGGATTCAGGCTGTGGGCACCTTTCACTTCTGCTGCAGATAAAGAATCCAAAGTTAAACCACATTAAAATCATATGGCTGTACAAAGCTATAAAAAGTGGCAACATACTCAATTTAGACTTTTACGAGGTACCAAGTAAAAATAAAAGCATTACCTGTTTATCCCCAAGAATGGTGGTGTTTATAGACTAAAAGTAAATAACAACTCTGTTTTATCCATTTGTCTCCATTCTCTTAAGGTATTATTCTCTTTTTTCACAGTTCACAAAAAAAAAATTTATAAGGAAACCAGTCGTACCAAAAGAAATACACTTTCCCTACATTTATGAAGACCAAATTCTGCTGAGTGATACTTGGTCACTACTTGGCAGGTTTACTAGTTGTGATGTCATTAGGGTCAATAAAGTTACTATGAAACACCATGAAACCTGTCCTGATGATGTGCTGAATTTCCTTAGAATAACAAACTTGTGAAAAGAATATAAAATACACTGACGCCATTGTCATGGCCTTCATATTCCTTAATGTTCTTTAATAGGCTTGGTCATTGCACTTATGAGAAGTGAAAAGAGCTTCCTGAGGGAGCGTCTGTAAGACTTGAGAATGCCATAAACATTTGATGTATATACATTTATCCAAATCTATCTATGCCTCTGTAAACCTTTGCTGAAAACAAATTACCAGATAACTCAAAGGCTGTTGCTCAAGGTTATACCCTCTCATTCATTTGAGTTCAACACACAGCTCTGACATGGACTCTATGCCAGACCATTAAGTGTATAAAGCAAGAAGGATCCGGTCTTAGTGCTGGCCAGGCAGTCTCAGTACTTAAGGAACTAAACCTAATAGTCTAAATGAAATACAACAGTAGCAGTAAAGGGAAGTGCACCAGTACTAGAGGAGCACCAGGCAAGAGACAAGCCAAAAACAAGCAGGGATCACAAGTCAGAGAAGGCTTTCCCAAGAAGACACCTGCCAAGCTGAGTCTTGAAGTGTGAGCTAGAAATGAAGAGTGCATTCAGAGCAGAGAAAAGAGCCTCAGAAAGGCTCAGAGATATGAACTAGCTTACATGTGTTCCAAGAGAATAAAATTCGAGGTTACCAGCAATGAAAGGCAGTTTCATTGAGGTGGGTATCAGGGAAGATTTGCAATCTGTGCTCAGAAACTGGAGTTTATCCTTCTAGAAACCACTGAGGGCCTTCATGCAGGGGACTAATATGATCATATTTGCATTTTAAAGTATTATTCATACAGTGTCTGCATGGATACAAAATAAAGAAGGGCAAACCCAACGAGCTAGACAGTTCCTGTCATAGCCCAGGAACAGACGGCAAGGCCAAGAGAAGGAGCCTGCAGAGCCATGCTCCAACATGGAGGGGCCCAATACCAGGAGGTCCCCCGAAAGATCCAAGAGCCCAAACTGTTCATTCTTAAGAGGCTTAAAGATTTTATACACTCAGAGTACTTTTAAGGAATCCCAAATGCATTTGTAAAACTTTCTGAAAATAGCATTAATGGGTTCCTTTTTTAATATTTGAAGCCTTAAGAACAAAAATTTTTCAATATTTTAACTGTCTTTAACTTTTAACCTATAGCTTTATTTTATATTAAAGAATACACTTCTTCAGCTCCTAAGGGTAGAGATCACAGCCATGGCACCAAGAAGAAGCCAGTCAAACTGGACAAAGTGAAGCAGATTACAGCAACAGTCTAGGTAATTCAAGTCCCCTAAAGTTAGCCAGTCATAAATGTAGTCATAAATAAATTCAGCCTTGACATTTCATATAAATAAAAAATACAGAACCTCTTTTCAGTGAAAATAACTTTAAATAATTTC